AATTCATCAATATGACTTTGCTAGAAACCTAATTTTTATTAGGCTTACCTTTACTCTTTGAGCTTCTAGGCATATGGTTTGGTGCTTTATTATATGTAATATATGGCAAATATTTTCAGCATTTAGAGCAGTAGGTGAGGCATAGACACAGTATTCTCTAGGCAAATGACATTGGACTGATTAATTAAGACAGTCAGTTCGAGATGGTTAGAGCTTGAAACACAACAAAAGACTGAGTTTGTTAAGAGTACAAACATGAAAAACAAATTTGAATTGTTTTACATGATTATTTTGTTTCTTCGGTTAACTAAGTATTTTCGAGAAGTTGCGGATCTATATGCCTTGAGTTTCTTAAGATCAACTGAAGTGATCCATATTAAGCAACTAATATGAGAAGAATTCTAAATTTAAGCTCTGGAAAATTCCAAATTTTAAACCATTTTTGTGCTTTATAATCACCATGAACTATTGCTCACTATAGAATGTTATTTGTAAAGTGCCTGGCATTATGATTTTCCCCCCTACTCCAACAAATACTGGAAAGGGACTAACCTTTGTCTAAGGATTGGATTGGAAACTTAGAGTTAAAAATGATGCATTTTCCTACACTCCATCAATAGAAATCTAGAAAAAAAAACAAAATAAAAGATAGATTGAAAAACAATTCCATCTCAAATGAAATTAAAAAAAAAAACCAAAAAACCAAAAAACAAACAACTACCACAATCCCTACCCATAAACTTTAAAGTGTGTTTGCCAAATACTATTTGTTTGGACTGAGATTAGGAAACAAGCTAAGAGCCAACCGCTGACTCCTTAAAAGTCAAATAGGATACAAATTTCTCCAAAACAATCTTGAAAGATACTTATAAGCACAGTTTGACTAAAGGAATGAGATACATGGCTGGGGCACTGGATAATAAAATTATTTCAAGAGAGAACCAGTTTGTGCTGTGCGGGATGGAGAGAAACAGAATTTTTAGGAGACCATTTCCTATGCCACAGTCTTCAGTGAAGACTAACAGGAATGAATCGTGGTAAAAAAATCCATAATGAAACAAGAATATTTCATCTTACTCCTAGTTCCATTAGAAGGGAGCTTGCTAATTTTAGACGGTATAGTGCAAAAAAATTATAAACAATTATTTTATGTCAGATAACACCGGTTGAAACAAATCAAGGTTTTTTTTTTTTCTTCTTCTACAAATATGGCAAAAGGAATGTGAAAATGCAATACTTGTACTTGGGAAAGCATGAAATATAAACATCATCACCATTAGTTTTCTCCACACCATTCTACCCATCAAATGAGGTTTATTGTCTCTGCCACCATCTATGATTTGCAGATGCACATCATACGCCAGGCACTGCAATTTCTTTCTTTCATAACAGGTGCTTTATATATCAATGACTAAATTACAGAGTAAAGCACAGGGTTCACACATAGTTCCTATTTTTCTTGTTGGTAGCCAATTCTTTTCCTGGGTGCTACACCTAATGAAGAAGTGAATGAGGACTGCTAGTCAGTGGCTTGATACTGGCAGGACCACACCAGCATAGCTGTTGACCTGCACCTTTGGTACCCGGCCCCACGACTTGTTACATAATTCAACTATTATCCCTTAAACAAATGACCCCTATTTTCCTATAACAGGTAGAATATGAATGCAACTTTAAATGATAAAACATGTACACACATTTATTCAACATTTTATATTATGCTATAAATATGTACAATTTCAATAATAAATTAAAAAAATGAGTAAAATAAGTCTGAGAGAGCTTCATAGTCAATTATATTACTCAGTGACATTTTTCTGCCTTCATGGCTAAGAATTCATCTGATCCAAGATCCTGATCATCTTCTTGCTAGAAAAGCTTGTTTAGGCAGCACATTGGAAATGCAGAGTGTTTTGTTGCCTCTAAGCAGCAGGAAGGTGTTTGTTAATAATAGAAACACTGAAAAGGATCAATTACAATCAAGAAGGGTTGATGAACATTTGTACAATATGCACAAAACTCTCCAAAAATTCTTTAATATTTTTTTCCTCCAGTTCCTCACATTCTTTGCATCCAGATTCTGTCACATTCTGCAAAATAAAAAGACAGGATTAGATTGGCAAGTCTACTACACTTCTTTTTTGAGAGGATCACATGAAAATTTTGGCAAATTAATATTACATTAGAAAGAACTCGGAGGTTTGATATGGGTTGATTTTTCCCATAATGGATTAAGGACGTTGAAAAAAATAAGCCACGTCCATCAGATCATGGAATTCCTGCTTAGAGCCCTTCAATAGTTTCTTATCATCTACCCCTAGCTTAAAGTCAGTGCCTCCTGCATAGCACACAGGCCCTCAGTGAGATGTTCCTTATTTATTTCTTTCACCATTCCCGCTATCTCAATGTCACGCCCTTGGAACTCTCAGAGAGCCCCCGCCTTTCCTTACCATGCAAAGCGTGCTATCACACGTCTCTCTTCCCTTGCTTTTCCCTCTGTCTGTGACATTCTTCCTGTTTTAGCTGCTGCCACTCACACTTAAGATTATTCAGGTGCTGCGCCCTTCAGGAAAGCTTTTCAGAACCCCTGAGCTCCCAGGGCTGGGCTGAATGTCCCATCTCTGTATCTCAGCACCCCTTGTTTAGACCTCATTCACAGTACCTCGTGTATTATATTCATATTATAGAGTTTTACCTTTTTTATACTACTATTCTCTAAGCTGTCTTTCAGGAAGGCAAAGCCATATATTTTTGTTTCCCTAGTATTTAGCATAGAACCTTGCACATAGTAATTACCCAATCTTTGATTAAATTTAACCATTTGGGGGGGTATCACAAATTGCTGTAATTTAAGCAGTGTCATGGATAACTGGAATATTCCGAATGTAGCAATCATGAATCAACTTTTTAGAGATCATCTGAACCATGAAGGCTGTGCCAGAAAAAATCAAAATTAGATTTTACATCCATTAAGCATTTGGAAATCAGATTCACTGATATTTATGAAGCACATTCTCTATGCCAAGCACTGTCATATTCCATATAATGCTACCCTATTTGATCCTGAAAATAATCATGTCAGATAGGGAGGGAGAAATATTAAATGACTCATCTCAGTTGACATAACCAACTGAAATGCTTCACATCCAGGTCTTCTGACTGTGCAGTCCTGCCCACTCATTTCCCTACATATGTCTCACTGTGTCATGATGAGGGTGACTATCAACATGCATATTAAAGAGTTCATCATTGATATTGCCATGAGTTATCTGATGCATGGCTCACTCTTTTTATCAATAAGATGGAAATAATATCACAAGAGTATGGCAAACATTAATTAAATCCATTTCATAAATATATCAAGTATTTAGGATATGTGTTCTGGAAATTGGGATACAGCACTGAAAAAAACAAAAACACCTGCCTCTTTGAAGATGACATTCTAGTAGCAAGAAACAAACAATACCCATTACGTAAAATATGTAGTATTCCAGATAGTAGGGCATGCAGAGAAGGGGACAGGAAGTGTCAAGTGGGGAAGGCATCACAATTGTAAATAGGTGACATCACTGAAAGGTGACATTTAAGCCAAGATCTGAAGCAGACTGCAATTTGTAAGGAGAAGTCAAGGAGTCCGGCCACACGAGCTCAGGGCCTTTGCACCGTCAGTTGCCTCTGCCTGAACGTGTTTCCCTAGGTATCCTTAAGGCCCGCGCCCTCACCTCTTTGTCAAATGTCAGTTTATTAGTTAAACTTTCTCTTGAATTAGAGTTTCAGTCCTCTTTACCTGTCTAATTTCTCACCATTGGACTTAATAAATAACGAATTTATTATTCGTTTGCTGAAAAGATTGGCTTATTTCTGTCTCCTCCCTTCTTAAGAGCAAGGATTGTGGGTGTTTTTTTCATACTGTGTCCTGAAGGGCTAAAAAGTATTCATCAAATGAACTAATTTTATTATGTCTTCTTTGTTTATAAAATTGCTTTCTCCCCACCCTGCTTTGGCCACATGTGTTTTGCCATGAAAGCCATAATTCTTTGCACGTCAGGGCCTTTGCACAGCTGGTCTTCCAGCCTACCATGGGAACCCCTAAGACTGGTTCTCCTGGACCTTTCTACTGCTCATGCTGCCTGGATGTTGTGGATTATACTCAAATTACTAATATTTTTATTGTGATCATTTTTCAGCATTTATCTTGTCAGGAGGTAAGAGGACAGACTCTACAGTGAGAATGCTTGGGTAAACATAGTGGCTACCCATTTTACTAGCTGCATGAATTGGAGAGAATGCTTCAATCTCTCACTACTCCAATTTCTTCAACCTTCAAATAGAAATAAGGATAACTATCTTACAGATTTCTTGTGAGGATTAAATGAATTACCACTTTAAATCTTGGAGAATAGTGTCTGGCACACAGTAATAACCCAACAAACGTGAGTTACTATTATTGATGTTAAACACTTAATTATGTAATTAGATTAATGTCTGTCCATTGCCCCTGATGTAAACACCTTAAGGTCAGTGACTGGTTTGGCTCACAACTATCACTTTAGCACTGACGCACACTGCCTGGCCATTATTCTGGTAATGTTTGTTTACTGAATAAATCAATGAACAGTTTAGGACTGTGTGCATGCCAGAGATGATGCCACTTTTGAATGGTACTCCACTAGAACTGAACTCTCTCTCCTGGCTCTTGGGATGATCTGCTTCTCCATGAATGACTGCTCCGAATCAAGCCAAAAACATCAAATGCAGCTCTGTCCGACTGTTGGACAACTCACCCCATTAGAAGACAAACCGCTGTTTGCTAGGATGATAAGGTTTTCTACTGTTTCATGAAGGGTCCTACTTCTGGACTCGTGTGAAATAACTTGTAACTCCAGGAGAAAGCACTTCATTGCTGTTACTTTGCAATTAGGCTAAAAATAAGAGTTACAAAAAACAATTTTGGAAAAACAATCATTTTCTCATTACTCATTTTCACATTGATATAATTTTGATATTTTAAAAGTCAATCCAAATATTTTATAAAGGCACACAATAGCGTTAAGAAATTTACAAAGAAAACAACTTAATATTTTTTTCATTTAGTTTCAAAATCAAAACTAAAACAAACCAACAAAACACAATCAAGAAAGATGGCATTATTGCACAGAAGAAAAGACATAAAACTAGAAAATTTGGAAGTAGTGGGTCACTTTTTCTCACTGAGCACATTTCTCCTGTAGAAAGGGAGATAATACTAGTCCCAGACTCTTAAGACATCAGTACAGATAGTGCATTTGTAAGAATTTTTAGAATGAGATTGTATTGTTAACATTTTAACATAGTGGTAGCTGCTAATCATATTATTCCTGCAAGTTCTAAAGTTCCAGAGGGAAAAGTGATTCCAAGAAGTGCATTAGAAAAATTAAAGCAGGAGTAGTGCCTACTCATAGCCTGGCCAAATCAGAAAGGGATCTCTTTGCTACCACAAAAATACATTTCCCACAACAGTTACTTCAACACCCGCCTAAGTTCCAAAGACAGTAAACACTTAATGAACAGCCAGGGATTTGACTATGACTTGTTTGACTTTGTGTCCCCAATGCACAGTGCCTGGGACCCTACAGGCACTTAACAAGTGCTCACTAAATGGATAAAGAAATGAACGAACACACTCATGTGCCAGACACTGGCAATATTCCTTGCCCCCCACGGCAGATGCTTCAGATTGAAAGGTAAATGCTGTCACCGTTTTAGCAATAATCAAACCAAGGTTGAGAAATGTTTAGCGATTTCTAAGGTAACACAAGTAGAAAGTGGTTGAGTCAGTGTTTAAATCTAAATTTCAATCTCTGGTTCATTCTGCAACCCATGAATTTATAAGGTTATTTTCTTGCAAAAAAAGCAATCTCAGGATGCTGAATGGTGGTAGTTAATTGACTGATTTTGGCTTTGAAAACAATGCAAAGAAAATGGAAAACATGCTGAAGCAGAGGGGGAACAATTTCTACGTGCAGAAGCACTACCCAGATGGTCGATGAATATTTGTTTTTTTCTAGTTTCTGGATATGACTTCTTCCCAATGCTTAGAAAGTCACCTATGTCAGACAAATTCTCATTGAGAAATAACAGAGAGAGGACATAGAGTTTGTTTTCCACGAGGTGAAGTTAGAGATCCGTTTCTTGGTTTTAGTAACAATCCAGACCGAAATCCTACAGGTCTCAAGAAATGTCAATGTATTAATAAAACAAGTTCAAGATCATTTTTGAATTGTGATAAGTTTTATCGATTATATTTCTTTCCTCATGTAGAGAATCATTAGAATCTTTTTCTGACAAATGCAGATACCCATGAAATATGGAGAACATGGATGCCTTTAAGTAATTTATAGAAAATATAATTGGAGATGGTGATACATTACAGCACCGGAAATAACTAATATGTTAGATCCTTTTAAATGGAATCAGTTGACCTGATTTTTGCATCTAATTGCATCATGATCCAACTGCATCACAACAAGGTATGATGCATGTTGTTTGACATTGACAGAAAAAGCTTTTTTAAATTTTGATTTGGCACCATAACAAAAATAGCATTTATGTAGCTCTCTGTCCTACAACCTCAACAAACACTTATAAAATTCATTGACATTATATTATAGGAACACACCAAAAGTTAGATTTAAAAACTATACATATTTCAGTTACGTTATGAAAATATACTTCTTAAACTTTTGAAAACTGGCAAAATAACAATTTATAAAAAATACTGTACTCACATGAACATCACTTTCAGTATATAAAGTAGCATCAATATGTATAGACTGAAAGGAAACAAAATTAGATAACATGAAAAACTATGCCCTGCTTTAGATATAATG